CAAAAATTTAAAAATTTAAAATAACGTATTCCCTAAAGTTAGGTGAGAGCGTCGGTCGGAAAGTGTGAGGGAGAGGGGAAAGCGAGAAGCAAAAACTGAGAGGACGTGAGACGAGAATGGAGGAATGGATAGCAAGGGCAGGGCCGGACCACCAGAGGGCGTGTCATCGTGAGCCGTAGAGCTGGCAAAGGATCGGGGATAAAGCAGTTAAAATAGGCTTAGCCCGCCCCGCACCACCAAGGGTGGATCGCTATGCCGTGGAACCGTGTCCACCTTGCAAGGTGGACACAGTCTATGTTCATAATTATAAAACTACTAGTTTTTTTTACGCGTTTTGCGCAAATAGAATAATGTCCAATGATTATTTTTAAATAAGTGTTTTAAAGTATATCAATGCAATTTTATATCGGAGATGTTCATGTATAGGTAAATAAATTAAATGTTGAATTTGTTTATTTAAATCGGTAATTTAAAGTATATATAAATGCAAGATAATATATGAGAGATTGATTATATTGTCAGTAAAATAAATATTTGCAACTTTTTAATAACGTTAGTCTAAATACTTAGTCTAAAAACGATAGTATAAATAAATACTACTTTTGGTTTAAATTTCTCTAATTCTTCTTAACTCTCTTTTGGTTAGCATTGTCATTGTCTTCATCTTCAGTACATGTCCATTTTTTTTATTAGTAGTGTGTCATGTGCAATTGGATTACTGGTGGTATAGCATAGATGAATTCGTTGTGTAATGAGATTATGGTGTAGGAAGCTTTAGATTTGCCTTGTTGTGTATATGATGGGATCTTAGTTGTACTATTAACTTTTTATCTTACAAGCACCTATTGATATTTGGTAGTTGTAGTTTTTCCCCTACATGTTTCATGCGTTGTGAGATGTCCGTCGTAGGTTATTATGTGAAAGTATTGAATAAAATATTAATATTTATTATATTTGTATAAAATACTTGGTAAATAAATATATATAACATATTTTGTATTATAACTTTGATATTTAATTAAAAGATATTGTAAATAGAAGATAATGGACAATATAGTAATATAATAAATTAATAAATTTGAAGGAAATGAATCTTTAAATTATAGAAAATAAAGATAATATAAATAATGAAATTATATTTCTTTTAATTTTTTTTTATAATGAATAATTTTTAAATAAAGGCATTATAGACATCTAATTCTAAATTAATTAAATGCATATGTATTATTATTTTTTGTTGTAGCTACTAATTTATTTAATTTAACAAGAGTAATAAATTGGCGTACATACTTTTCATCAACAATAATGAAATCATTGTTTTTTTTTTTTTAATTTACATTCGTTGTTGAAACAAATTGTTTTGAAAGTTTGTCAATGACAATTGTTACTGATGGGGTGAGGACCCCGACCCAAGAAGCCGGGCCCAAGAGAAGAGGCCCAGGATGGGGAAGATTCCAGAGTGGGTAGGTAGCGACCCAGTAAGTGAGAATATGGGTCAGAAGTAGGGCCCGGCAGAGGCCTGGGCCGAGTCCAGGAGTCGGTCACGGCCCAGGTTGAAGAGAAGACTCGGCAAAGAGCCGTTGAGTGGCATTTATCGCGGCATTTAAAGGGCTCGACCGAGCGAACCGTTAGGGAACCCAAAGGAGCCGTTGGCCGGCCTGGTAACGGCACCCAACGGTCTTAAAATGTAATTAGCTTTAAAGCAGCCTTCAATGTACTTTAACTCAGCTGAAGGAGGGCCTACTATATAAAGGCCCCTCCGCCATTGTGAAAGGGGCGAGTCCATGCCCAGGCAATAAGAGAGGCACCGTTCTGCTATTTTCATTTCCTTCTAAAGAAAGTTCTTTTATTGAAAGGTGAATCCACCGACTAAGGTTGTGTTGGACCTCCCTGGGCCCAAAAACCCTAAAACCAACACTGGCGCCGTCCGTGGGGATTGAAACAAGGAGCTGCGTACTTTTCTGAGCGGGCGAGTTCATGAGACCAACGAGGATATCGTAAGAAGGATAAGAGTTTTGTAGCATGTCGGAGGGACGAAGCCAGGCGAATAACCGTAACAACGCTCCAGAAGTCGACTTGAGAGAGCAGTTGAATCAACGAAACGCCCAAAGTCAAGAAAATGAGTCGGCACCCTTGAATCGACCGCCATCAATGATACCGTTCACTCCCGAACAAATCCGAGCCCTTGGGCGGGCTATCGCTGCAGAAAACCGGGGAATGGGAGAACAGTCGTCTTCACGACCGCCGCCCCACAATCAACAACCGCCTCAAAGATCTAGAGAAGGCAGGCGAGGAGATCGGCGAGTAGAGAGTGTACCGGTACGATCAGTCCATTCCAGGCTCGGCCCGAACACCGTGCTCCAATCCGCGAGAGAACGATTGGGGGAGAGAGAGCCCAATCGCGCACCGGTGGATCCACAAAATCGAGAGGCCGCCCCGTGAGAAAGCCCGTACTAGGAGGACTAGGACTCGGGCACGATGGTCCGAGCGACCTAGACGTAACAATGACCAACAGGCCGAGTCGGAGACCGGCGAAAGCACGGAGTCCACCGAGAACCACACGCGAAACGACGAGGATGTGGCTCACCTGGCTCGAGAAGTGCGAAACCTGAAGGAGCAAATGGAAGGAAGGACCAAGTCCCCTGGGCGAACATTGCTCACCGCCTTGCCCTTCTCCTCCGAGATCATGTCTAACAAAGTACCCGGTGACTTCAAGTTCCCGGAACAGGCCACCTTTGACGGATCCGGTGATCTGCGAGAACACCTTTTAAGCTATCAGGCTAATATGCAGGTCTTAGGGGTCCGAGACCTTGTCATGTGTCGCGCTTTCCTACCAACACTAAAAGGACCAGGCACAAAGATGGTTGGTGGCTCTGCCCCCAGGATCAATACACAACTTTGAAGAGCTGGCCGACCGCTTCATGAGTCACTACGCGGCCAACATCAAGCCACAAAAGGATCTGACTCACCTGGGGGACGTTCATCAAGAGGAAGGTGAATCCCTCAAGACCTACTTGGCCCGGTGGCAAAAAGAGATCCAGTCTTTCGAAGAAGTCGAGGACCAGACCATCCTCACCTTCTTCATCGAATCCTTACGATCCGGACAGTTGTATCGTGATCTACGTGACAACCGACCGGCCACCTACGCGGAAGCCATACATACGGCTAACAAACGGGCCAACACGGAGCAGGCCATAAAACATAAGCGACAGCGAGAGGTTGGAGGATCTGGTAATGGAAAGAGAACCCGTGCGGAAACTAAAGAGAGACGCCCGGAACCGGCTAGGCGACCTGAAGCACGACACCCATATGAAAGGCCCAGCGTCCACCCTTATAGGCCGACTCCACAGCATCTGGTACAGGAAGTATGAGCGATCGCACCTCCTCCGCCTCCCCCAATCGAAGAGCATACGGCGAGCGAAGATCCAGGTAAAATGTCTAAATACTGCCGTTATCACAAATCATACACCCACAACACGGAAGAATGCTACTACTTGAAGAAAATCATGGAGGAAATCATCCAGCAAGGAACCCCGCCTCCTAACTAGTGGCGAAGGAGGTCGGCGGCCTGGGAGGACGGCGACCCCGCAGCAGCGGCTGAAAGCAGTCGCGGCAAGCAGCCTGCGACTGAGGTAGATGAGACCCAATGACGACAGAAGTCGGTTATTAATATGATAGTCGGCAGACTAAAGGGAATCGACTCTGCGAACACTAGAAAAGCTTGGGTCCGACAATTGTACGTAGGGACAGTGTACGGGCGAGAGGGAGGTTCAAAGAAAGCTTGCCGGGAGCCCATTACCTTCACTAACAAGGATCTGCCTATAGGAGAAACGTCGCACCGCGATGCCCTAGTCATTGCGATGGATGTGAATGGGGTGGTCGTTCGAATCCTGGAGGATACTAGAAGCAGCGTCAACGTATTATACCTTGAGACCTTCACCAAAATAGGATTAACTCGAGAGCAATTGAACCCGGTCAAGACGCCACACGCCGGCTTCACGGGCGACTCGGTGAAGGCAGAAGGATCCATCACCCTGCCAGTAGAAATCGGCTGCTACCCCGATGTACAGAAACTAGACATGAAGTTCATTGTGGTAGACCTGACCTGTTCACATAAAGCCATACTCGGTCGACCGGGCTTGGAAAATTTGGGAGCGTTGATCTCCATTGAGCACCACTGCCTGAGGTTTTGCACACCGGGTGGGATAGGCACAGTTCGTTGCAACATGAGAGTCGCCCGCGATTGTTATCTACATGCTTGCAGGGGCATGGGTAAGCGTGAGATGCAGGTCCACGAGATCACGGAACGACCTCCGAAGAAGGAAATGATACCCCGCCCGGAGCCGGCCGTGGAACTAGAGGAGATTGAGATCGACCCTGGACGACCAGAAAGACGGGTCCGGATTGGAGTTGGTCTCCTAGAGGAGATACGGGAGGGGGACATAAGGGTACTTCGAGAGAATCGACTGGTCTTCGCCTGGGGGCCAGAGGATATGCCAGGAGTCGACCGGTCTATCATTGCTCATCGACTTACCATAGACCCAGACCACCGACCAGTTATTCAGAAGAAACGTTACTTGGCCTAACGATAGAAGGGAGTTTGTAAAAAAGGAAGTGAGCACGCTGCTGGCCGCGGGTCATATTCAAGAGGTCAAGTATCCTGAATGGTTGGCTAACGTCGTACTTGTACCAAAACCCCCGGCCTGGCGGATGTGCGTGGATTATACCAACCTCAACAAGGCCTGCCCGAAGGACCCATTTCCATTACCTCGGATCGATCAGTTAGTCGACGAGACGGCGGGGTCGACTTTGTTGAGTTTCATGGATGCTTTAAGGGGATATCATCAGATCTTCATGCACCAAGTAGACGAGGAGAAAACCGCGTTCTTAACTCCGGATGGAGTATATTGCTACCGAGTCATGCCCTTCGGACTCAAGAACGCGGGGGCCACATATACTCGGATGGTCGCCCGACTGTTCCAAGACCTACTGGAAAATCCATGGCGGCCTACGTGGACGACATGCTGGTGAAAAGCCGAGAAGAAACTAACCATGCGGAGGATTTGGCCGGCTGCTTCCAGGTGATGCTTATATACAACCTTCGACTTAACCCAAAAAAGTGTGCATTCGCAGTGCAAGGTGGGAAATTCTTGGGATATATGGTGACTAAGAGGGGCATCGAGCCCATCCCCGAGAAAGTACAGGCCATCATAGACATGCAGCCTCCCAGCACCGTTAAGGACTTGCAGCGGTTAACTGGTCGACTGGCTACCCTCAGTCGCTTCCTGAGCAAAGCGGCAGATAAGGCCGTGCCCTTTTTCGAAGCTATTAAGAAGAAAGAGGGTTTTGTGTGGACGGCCGAGTGCCAACAGTCATTTGAAGAGCTAAAAAGATATCTTTCTACACCGCCGGTGCTGTCCACCCCTCAGGTTGGGGAGCCATTGTTCTTATACTTAGCAGCCTCCCCCAGAGTGGTGAGCTCAGTGCTTGTCCGAGAAGAAGAGCGTGCCCAGCACCCGGTATATTACGTAAGCCGTTCTTTGAAAGCCGCTGAGGCGCGGTACACGCCCTTGGAGAAGATTGTCTATGCATTGATGACCACTGTGCGTAAATTGGCGCCTTACTTTCAAGCCCATACCATTCGGGTCTTGACTGATCAACCCCTGGGAAGCGTAATGCGAAATCCCATGTCATCTGGTCGGCTTGTGAAATGGGCAGTAGAATTAACTCAGTATAGAATCGAGTACCAGCCTCGACCATCAATCAAGGGGCAGGCCCTAGCCGACTTCTTGGTCGAATGCACTGCAAGGGAAGGCGACAAGCGGGACGCTACGGAAAATAATTCGGGCGAATGGTGGGAGATGCATGCAGATGGAGCAACAAGTCTTCAACATTGTGGCGGTGGAGTCATGTTAATTACACCGGAAGGATTCCGGCTTTACTATGCTTTAAGCTACCTGTTCCCGACATCTAACAATGAGGCCGAGTACGAAGCTGTGCTAGGTGGCCTACGACTCGCCAAGACACTGGAAGTGGAGCACCTACGAATTAAGACCGACTCTCGTCTGGTGGTCGGACAGATATCCGGGACATGCGAAGCTAAGAACGCTCGGATGGCCCAGTATAAAGAAAAAGCGATAGAATTGCTAAAGGGATTTGGAACGTACGAGATAGAGTACATTTCGCGAGCTGAAAATACAGAAGCCGACATACTGTTAAAGATCGCTCTAGAGGGTGTGCCGGATCACCTCGTCAAAATCTGTCAAAAAGAGGAACTGGTTCGACCTAGCATAGAGGAAACGACCTTGGAGATTCAACAGGTAGCGATCGAGGTATGGGACCGGGAGAAGAATCCTAAGATGTTCTGGATCGAAGACATCCGGCGATACAAGGAAAAGGGGGAGTTGCCAGAGGATCCCGGGGTCGCCGCCCGGGTCCGTCGCAAGGCCCCGTCATTCGAAATTATCGACGGAAAGTTGTACAAACAATCATTCGGAGGTCCCCACCTTAGATGTCTACTCAGGCCCGAGGCGGAAAAGATAATGGACGAGGCCTATCGCGGAATCTGTGCTGCCCACCAAGGTGCCCACACTCTCGCCCGAAAGTTAGTCGTCCAAGGGTACTACTCGCCCACCATGATGAGGGACTACATCGAATGGATAGCCAAGTGCGTGGTTTGTCAAGCATTAGCTCGAAAAGATACTCGGCCCGCCACATTCTATACGCCAGTCACCACGGCCATCCCGTTTGCAAAATGGGGGATCGACTTGCTGGGCCCGCTGCAAGTCGCCCCCGGACGTTTGAAATTCTGTGTTGTAGCCATCGACTACTTCACTAAATGGGTCGAGGCCAAGCCGCTAGCCACCAGCACCCAGTACCAGTGTCGACGCTTCCTGTGGAAGAAGGTGATCTGTCGCTTCGGACTGCCTGAGCATATAGTTAGTGATAACGGCCAATAGTTCGACTGTCAGCCCTTCGTCGACTTCTGTCACCGACACAGTATACGTCACACCAAGGTGTCCGTCGCTTACCATCAAGCCAACGGGCAAGTCGAGAATGCGAACCGAATGACAGTGGACGGAATTGGAAAGAAGCTGGAGGACATTGGAGGAAACTGGGTGGACGAGCTGGACCGGGTCCTATGGGCCTATCGAACCACACAGAGACGGGCGACTAGTGAAAACCCATTTTTCCTGGCATACGGCTTCGAAGCCAAAGTTCCAATAGAAGTTGTTGAGCCCACACACCGAGTCCGCGACTATTCGGATGAAGGGAATGAAGAAAACCTCAGGATTGAGAAGAACTTCTTGGAGGAGCGAAGGGAGGCCACGTATGCCCGTATGGTGGAATATCAACATGCCGTAAAAAGATATCAGGATCGGAGGATTAGTCCACGAACCTTTCAAGTCGGCGACCTCGTGCTACAAGACCGACAGGCAAGCCAGCCCACGGAAGGTAGAAAGTTCGCAGTTAAGCGGGAAGGACCTTATCCATGGCCGCGGTGGTCCAAGCCGACACATACAAATTGGAAACATTGGAAGGGAAGCTCGTTGATCGAATTCGCAATGTGATCCAGTTGAAGAAATTCTATCAGTAAGTTTGAAGCCTTAAAAGGTTAGCCTATGTACTCACCTAAAGTTCAATCTTGAATAAAGCGCCATCACTTTTCACATCTCGATAGCAGTTTCCAAGATAGAGATAGGAAACAAGTGCACAGACCCTTAGTCGTTTCCAGGAAAAAGCCAAAAGGAGTCGCCTCGAAAAAGGGACTCGGCGAGAAAGAGAAAGGAAACAAGGGCCCAGACCCTTAGTCGTTTCGAAGAAAAAGCCAGAAGGAGTCCCCTTGACTGAGGGACTCAGCGAGAAAGAGAAAGGAAACAAGGGCCCAGACCATTAGTCGTTTCCAAGAAAAAGCCAGAAGGAGTCGCCTCGACTAAGGGACTTGGCGAGAAAGAGAAAGGAAACAAGTGCCCAGACCCTTAGTCGTTTCCAAGAAAAAGACAGAAGGAGTCGCCTCGACTGAGGGACTCGGCGAGAAAGAGAAAGGAAAAAAGGGCCCGTCCCTTAGTCGTGTCCAAGAAAAAGCCAGAAGGAGTCGCCTCGACCGAGGGACTCGGTGAGAAATAGAAAGGAAACAAGGGCCCAGACACTTAGTCGTTTCCAACAAAAAGCCAGAAGGAGTCGCCTCGACCGAGGGACTCGGCGAGAAAGAGAAAGGAAACAAGGGCCCAGACCCTTAGTCGTTTCCAAGAAAATGCCAGAAGGAGTCGCCTAGACCGAGGGACTCGGCGAGAAAGAGAAAGGAAACAAGGGCCCAGACCCTTAGTCGTTTTCAAGAAAAAGACAGAAGGAGTCGCCCCGACTGAGGGACTCGGCGAGAAAGAGAAAGGAAACAAGGGCCCAGACCCTTAGTCGTTTCCAAGAAAATGCCGGAAGGAGTCCCCTCGACTGAGGGACTCGGCGAGAAAGAGAAAGGAAACAAGTGCCCAGACCCTTAGTCGTTTCCAAGAAAAAGACAGAAGGAGTCGCCTCGACTGAGGGACTCGGCGAGAAAGAGAAAGGAAACAAGGGCGCCGACCCTTAGTCGTTTCCAAGAAAAAGACAGAAGAAGTCGCCTCCACCGAGGGACTCGGCGAGAAAGAGAAAGGAAACAAGGGCCCCGACCCTTAGTCGTTTCCAAGAAAAAGACAGAAGAAGTCGCCTCGACCGAGGGACTCGGCGAGAAAGAGAAAGGAAACAAGGGCCCAGACCCTTAGTCGTTTCCAAGAAAAAGCCAAAAGGAGTCGCCTCGACAAAGGGACTCGGCGAGAAAGAGAAAGGAAATAAGGGCCCAGACCCTTAGTCGTTTCGAAGAAATAGCCAGAAGGAGTCCCCTCGACTGAGGGACTCGGCGAGAAAGAGAAAGGAAACAAGGGCCCAGACCCTTAGACGTTTCCAAGAAAAAGCCAGAAGGAGTCGCCTCGACAAAGGGACTCGGCGAGAAAGAGAAAGGAAACAAGGGCCCAGACCCTTAGTCGTTTCGAAGAAAAAGCCTAGAAGGAGTCCCCTCGACTGAGGGACTCGGCAAGAAAGAGAAAGGAAACAAGGGCCCAGACCCTTAGTCGTTTCCAAGAAAAAGCCAGAAGGAGTCGCCTCGACTAAGGATCTCGGCGAGAAAGAGAAAGGAAACAAGTGCCCAGACCCTTAGTCGTTTCCAAGAAAAAGACAGAAGGAGTCGCCTCGACTGAGGGACTCGGCGAGAAAGAGAAAGGAAACAAGGGCCCCGTCCCTTAGTCCTTTCCAAGAAAAAGCCAGAAGGAGTCGCCTCGACGGAGGGACTGGGTGAGAAATAGAAAGGAAACAAGGGCCCAGACACTTAGTCGTTTCCAACAAAAAGCCAGAAGGAGTCGCCTCGACCGAGGGACTCGGCGAGAAAGAGAAAGGAAACAAGGGCCCAGACCCTTAGTCGTTTCCAAGAAAACGCCAGAAGGAGTCGCCTCGACCGAGGGACTCGGCGAGAAAGAGAAAGGAAACAAGAGCCCAGACCCTTAGTCGTTTTCAAGAAAAAGACAGAAGGAGTTGCCCCGACTGAGGGACTCGGCGAGAAAGAGAAAGGAAACAAGGGCCCAGACCTTTAGTCGTTTCCAAGAAAATGCCGGAAGGAGTCCCCTCGACTGAGGGACTCGGCGAGAAAGAGAAAGGAAACAAGTGCCCAGACCCTTAGTCGTTTCCAAGAAAATGATAGAAGGAGTCGCCTCGACTGAGGGACTCGGCGAGAAAGAGAAAGGAAACAAGGGCCCCGACCCTTAGTCGTTTCCAAGAAAAAGACAGAAGAAGTCGCCTCGACCGAGGGACTCGGCGAGAAAGAGAAAGGAAACAAGGGCCCAGACCCTTAGTCGTTTCCAAGAAAAAGCCAAAAGGAGTCGCCTCGACAAAGGGACTCGGCGAGAAAGAGAAAGGAAATAAGGGCCCAGACCCTTAGTCGTTTCGAAGAAAAAGCCAGAAGGAGTCCCCTCGACTGAGGGACTCGGCGAGAATGAGAAAGGAAACAAGGGCCCAGACCCTTAGACGTTTCCAAGAAAAAGCCAGAAGGAGTCGCCTCGACAAAGGGACTCGGCGAGAAAGAGAAAGGAAACAAGGGCCCAGACCCTTAGTCGTTTCCTAGAAAACGCCAGAAGGAGTCCCCTCGACTGAGGGACTCGGCGAGAAAGAGAAAGGAAACAAGGGCCCAGACCCTTAGTCGTTTCCAAGAAAAAGCCAGAAGGAGTCGCCTGGACTAAGGATCTCGGCGAGAAAGAGAAAGGAAACAAGTGCCCAGACCCTTAGTCGTTTCCAAGAAAAAGACAGAAGGAGTCGCCTCGACTGAGGGACTCGGCGAGAAAGAGAAAGGAAACAAAGGCCCCGTCCCTTAGTCGTTTCCAAGAAAAAGCCAGAAGGAGTCGCCTCGACCGAGGAACTGGGTGAGAAATAGAAAGGAAACAAGGGCCCAGACACTTAGTCGTTTCCAACAAAAAGCCAGAAGGAGTCGCCTCGACCGAGGGACTCGGCGAGAAAGAGAAAGGAAACAAGGGCCCAGACCCTTAGTCGTTTCCAAGAAAACGCCAGAAGGAGTCGCCTCGACCGAGGGACTCGGTGAGAAAGAGAAAGGAAACAAGGGTCCAGACCCTTAGTCGTTTTAAAGAAAAAGATAGAAGGAGTCGCCCCGACTGAGGGACTCGGCGAGAAAGAGAAAGGAAACAAGGGCCCAGACCCTTCGTCGTTTCCAAGAAAATGCCGGAAGGAGTCCCCTCGACTGAGGGACTCGGCGAGAAAGAGAAAGGAAACAAGTGCCCAGACCCTTAGTCGTTTCCAAGAAAAAGACAGAAGGAGTCGCCTCGACTGAGGGACTCGGCGAGAAAGGGAAAGGAAACAAGGGCGCCGACCCTTAGTCGTTTCCAACAAAAAGACAGAAGAAGTCGCCTCGACCGAGGGCCTCGGCGAGAAAGAGAAAGGAAACAAGGGCCCCGACCCTTAGTCGTTTCCAAGATAAAGACAGAAGAAGTCGCCTCGACCGAGGGACTCGGCGAGAAAGAGAAAGGAAACAAGGGCCCAGACCCTTAGTCGTTTCCAAGAAAAAGCCAAAAGGAGTCGCCTCGACAAAGGGACTCGGCGAGAAAGAGAAAGGAAATAAGGGCCCAGACCCTTAGTCGTTTCGAAGAAAAAGCCAGAAGGAGTCCCCTCGACTGAGGGACTCGGCGAGAAAGAGAAAGGAAACAAGTGCCCAGACCCTTAGTCGTTTCCAAGAAAAAGACAGAAGGAGTCGCCTCGACTGAGGGACTCGGCGAGAAAGGGAAAGGAAACAAGGGCGCCGACCCTTAGTCGTTTCCAACAAAAAGACAGAAGAAGTCGCCTCGACCGAGGAACTGGGTGAGAAATAGAAAGGAAACAAGGGCCCCGACCCTTAGTCGTTTCCAAGAAAAAGACAGAAGAAGTCGCCTCGACCGAGGGACTCGGCGAGAAAGAGAAAGGAAACAAGGGCCCAGACCCTTAGTCGTTTCCAAGAAAAAGCCAAAAGGAGTCGCCTCGACAAAGGGACTCGGCGAGAAAGAGAAAGGAAATAAGGGCGCAGACCCTTAGTCGTTTCGAAGAAAAAGCCAGAAGGAGTCCCCTCGAGTGAGGGACTCGGCGAGAAAGAGAAAGGAAACAAGGGCCCAGACCCTTAGACCTTTCCAAGAAAAAGCCAGAAGGAGTCGCCTCGACAAAGGGACTCGGCGAGAAAGAGAAAGGAAACAAGGGCCCAGACCCTTAGTCGTTTCGAAGAAAAAGCCAGAAGGAGTCCCCTCGATTGAGGGACTCGGCGAGAAAGAGAAAGGAAACAAGTGCCCAGACCCTTAGTCGTTTCCAAGAAAAAGACAGAAGGAGTCGCCTCGACTGAGGGACTCGGCGAGAAAGAGAAAGGAAACAAGGGCCCCGTCCCTTAGTCCTTTCCAAAAAAAAAAAC